GTTCATTCTCATAGTGTGACATGTTCTGCACGTACTGTACCTGTGCACACAGTTTTACATACTACGTCATGTGTACATGTCTTAAAAATTCTGAAAAAGGGTGTGTTTTAGTGGTACAGTAAAACTGATGATAATGACTGAGCAATCTTCATTACCTCTCTTCCTGGGACAAGGTCACTAGCTGATTTTAGTTGACCCCAGCATTTTCTCCGGCAATTTATTTATGTCACATGCTAACTGTAAGGCCTTTGCACAAGGCCTTCTGGTCTCTGTCATGTCCATTGTTTTTCTTCAGCCTTCCCTGGTATAGACAAAAACCTAAATCTTCTCAAGTAAGCCCATCTACTTAGTCCAGGACAGCACCGACAGAATTCACTCTTACTTGTGATTTATTTTTCCTCAGAAAATGATCTCTGAAGTCATCTTTAAAACTTTTACCTTTTCTCCTGCATGTGATCCACCTGTAAATTCCACTGATTACAGATATAAAATATGTTGAAGATCCATTTCTTGCCACATACACATCTGATACTCTACTACTGCTTTCTATCATTGAAGTAACTTTTCGTACATGCAATCTAGACCTCATCTCTCTTCTATCCTTGAGAAACTAATTCTTAACCAACAGCAGACTGTACTTTAAAAATAGACTATTTAAGACTAGTGTGATGGCTCAGAGCATATCAAGTGTTTGCCCCAAAGCATGAGGACCTGGGTTTGAGTTCCCAAAACCCAGGTAAAGTTGGGCTCCATATCTAGATTTGTTAATGCCAGGACTCCTACTACGAGATGAAAACTGGAAATAAGGGAATCCTGGATGTGTTGCAGGCCAGATAGTCTGGCATATACGGTGAGAACAAGGGGACCCTGTCTCCTTCAAGGTCAAAGATGAGGATGAACACTTGAGAAAGTCCTTGAGCTACACACATGCTGTGGCATGCACACTCTCATAGTCACATGCAATAATATGTGTACACATACACTCACACACCCAGCCCACAAATACATATCACACATCTTCCCACCGTCATCCACAAACACAACTATTTTAAAAAATATATGGTTCATTTAAACTTATTTGCGCTTTCAAAGCCGATAAGAATAAATGAGGAAAATGTTCTATTATCTTTGTTATGACTGATGACAAGTACATATGAGAAGAAATCAAGACTGTAGCAAAAACCATTTATGAAGACCAGAGAAAGGGGCTAGATAGAAGGCTCTGGGAGTAAAATGCTTGCTGAACTCTAATCCCCAGAACTCAGAGGCCAAGTAAGAAGCCCTGTCTCAAATGAAGAAGCCACAAGGTGAGGACTTACGCGTGATGATGTTCTCTAACCCACACATCCATGTGTCGCTACCCCGTCAACATACCTCAGAAAGAGAAAAAAAATGCCGGCATCTCTCAAGGGGTGGTCACCATGACGGCTTTCAGGGCTTTAGAAGACAATTTTCTGCTACACAGTGATGTATGAGGCGGAATCCTAATTTTTTTACACACATTCTGGCTCTAGTAGCACCCAGTGCATTCTCTGCACATGGAAAATTTACACCCCTAAAGAAATGCATGGTTCTCTGTGACAAAGAAGATCATAGCAGTGCTTCATCTGCAAGAGGAACATTTTCATCACAGTCTGTACAGTTCTCTCCACCAAGCATTTCTGCACATTTATATTCTCAACTGACCCATGCTTATGCATCCACTGTGGCTTGCTTGATTAAAACAGAAAGCTACTGCAAATAGCATCTGGGTTTACCATTGCCTTCCCCTCCCTTATCTCCGCCCTTCTCCACAGTGTCACTTATCTCCAGGATAAAGATGGTCAAACTAGAAAGTGCTTGTGATCTCTCTGACTAGCCAGCAGTGACCAATGATTGGAAGATCATTCCTCCAATGCCTCACCTTCAACTTGACTTTGGGCAAGAAAAGTCACATAGCAATTACAGGAAATACAAGAAACAGAGTTGTTGTTTTGTTAGTTTTTTTTTGTTGTTGTTTTTTTTTTTTTTTTCCTTTCAAAACCCTTCAATAATTCCAGAGGGGAAACAGAAAATACTGAGATCTAAGAAGCTGGCTCAGGGATTGAATGCATTTTTACACACATGTAGTTAAAATGAAACAAATTATATGGCTTTTTAGAGGAGATTAATAAGTATTTGTTTTTCAAATGTTTGCTTGGCATATAGCTAATGTTTTATGAGAAAAAGAGTTAAGGTATTCCAAGTGTTTGTGATAATAACAATTTAATATTATCAAAGGATGTTATAGCAGTGTATTTCTGAGGATCAAGGGACAGTACATGTCCATTAATTTGAGTTAGATGTGGAAGTATGTGCGATGTTTGTGTGTTTGTTGTGTTTTCAGAAATATCAAGCTTCGCTATGAACCTCTTTCCTGCAATGCACAATGATTGAAATGTTCCCTGCCCTATGTTTCATTTTTTCTTTCTTTCTAAGAATACATTCACCAAAGATAAGAAATATATATTTAATAGAATAGTTTTCATGGTTACAATAGCATATGCAAGACACCAGAAGATGCACATGTATCAAAGCAAGGGTTCAATGAGTACAGCTCCTTCCACTGTGCCATCTTGCCACGGATACTTTTACCCTCCCCTTCACAAATCACCATTTACAACTCAACCTTTAATAACAGCTTAGTAACAGTATTTTTATACTTTAGGGTGATGAGTAATGGTTTATATTTGCGTCAGTCTGATCCATGCTTTTCTGTGTCTTGGTAGTCATCGACTATGGATCCTAAATGAATGAAAGACAGCTATGGGCATAAACAGATATAGCAAGTAGCCATTCACTCTGTCAGATCACAAACCCTCTATCTGTCTCTCTCTTTCAGAATTCATTCCATGCATTCCTGCAGCTCGCTCTGCGACAGCCAGGAAAATCCATGTTGTATTGTGCCCTTGAAGTTTTCTTCTTCTAGTAACAAGTTAATGAATGCCTATTCCTTGCACATAAGCTAAACCAGATTAAATCTCATAGTATGAAATTGCCTGCCACTCCCTCAAAACCTACGGAAGCTAGAAATTGCCTATTGTTCAGGAGATCTGAAGGCTTCACTTTCATTTCCCCCATCATGCTGTATAAGATGTTGTCTCTTCCTCCTCAAGCTCTTTCCAAATGGATCTTCTCTCCAGAATTCCATTTTAAGGAAACAAAAGGTTTATCTTGCCTTAGAATTTAAGACTTCAAGTCATCGAGTCAGGGAAAGATAGGCGTCAGGAACTGGAAGCAGCTCCTCAAACTGCATCTATCCACCGTCTTGAAGAAGAGAATGATCAATACTGCTGTTCAGCTGATTTTTCCTTTATTTTATTTATTTTTTATTTTTATTTATTTTTTAATTTTTTTTGTTTTTTATGTCTAAGGTCATTTTATTTAAAATTTTTGTTTTATTTTCCTTTTTTGCATTTTAATTTATTTAACTAATTACAATGTATTCACTTTGTAGCCCAGCCTTAGCCTCCTCCCTCATGCCCTTCCCATCTGCCCTCCTTCCCTCTTCTCTTCTTATACTTCTCCCTCAGTTCACTGACACTGGAGGTCCTCCTCCCCTTCCATCTGACGATAGCCTTCAGGTCTCATCAGGACTGGCTGCATTGTCTTCCTCTGTGGCCTGTTAAGGCTGCTGCCCTTTGAGGAAGAGGTGATCAAAGAGCCAGACACTGAGTTCATGTCCAAGACAGGCCCTGTTCCCCTTACTAGAGAACCCACTTGGACACTGAGCTTCCATGGACTACATCTGTGCAGGGGTCCTAGGTTATATTCATGCATGGTCCTTGATTGGAGTATCAGTCTCAGAAAAGACCCCTGGGCCCAGATTTCTTGGTACTGTTGCTCTCCTTGTGGAACTCCTGTCCCCTCCAGGTCTTTCATCTTCCCCTTCTTTCATAATATTCCCTGTACTCTGCCCAAAGTCTAGCTAAGAGTCTCAGCATCTGCTTCTATACCCTGCTGGGTAGAGTCTTTCAGAGGCCCTCTGTGGTAGGTTCCTGTTCTGTTCCCTATTTTTTCACTCTTCCTTTGTCTCTCCTGTTTGATTTTCTGAATGAGAATCGATCATCTTGCCCATGGTCCTCCTCCTTGCTTAGCTTCTTTAGGTGTACAGATTTTAGTATATTTATCCTACGTTGTATGTCTAACACCCATTTATAAGTGAGTATATACAGTGTGTGTCTTTCTGTTTCTGGGATACCTCATTCAGGATGATCTTTTCTAGATCCCACTATTTCCCTTCAAATTTCATGAATTCCTTGTTTTTAATTGCTGAGTAATATTCCATTGAGTAAATGCACCACAATATCTTTATCCATTCCTTAGTTGAGGAACATCTGTGTTGTTTCCAGATTCTGATGATTATGAACAAAGCTGCTATGAACATTGTTGAGCAAATGTCTTTGTTGTATACTTGAGCATATTTTGGCTATATGCCCCGGAGTGGGATAGCTGGATCTTGAGGTATCACTATTCCTAATTTTCTAAGAAAGCGCCAGATTGATTTCCAAAGTAGTTGTATAAGTTTACATTCCCACCAGCAAAGGAGGAGGGTTCCCCTTTCTCCATATCCTCTCCACCATGTATTGTCACTTGAGTTTTTGATCTTAGCCACTCTGATGGGTATAAGGAGAAATCTCAGGATCATTTTGATTTGCATTTCCTTGATGACTAAGGGGTTGAGCATTTTTTTAAGTGTTTCTCTGCCATTTGATATTTCTCTATTGAGAATTCTCTGTTTAGGTCTGTACTCCATTTTTTTAATTGAATTACTTGATTTGTTGGTGTTTCACATTTTGAGTTTTTATATAATCTGGATATTAGCCCTCTGTCAGATATAGGGTTGGTGAAGATCCTTTCCCAATCTGTAGGCTGTCGTTTTGTTCTGATGACAGTGTCCTTTGCTTTACAGAAGCTTTTCAGTTTCACGAGGTTCCATTTATTGATTTTTTATCTTAGAGCCTGTGCTGCTGGTGTTCTGGTGAAAACAGTGATTAGATGCCATGAAGTAGGTGACAATTCCTCAACCATATGCATGTTGTTAAGCCCAAGGGCCTCTTCCATTCTTATCAAGGGAATGCTAACTTTCTCTCCTTTCATTCAACATTTAAATTAATTTATTTATTTGTTATTATTTATTCACTTTGTATGCCAGCTATAACCCCTTTCCTTGTCCCTCCCAATCACTCCCTCATCTTCCCCTCACATGCATCTCCCAAGTCCATTGTTAGGGGAGGTCCTCCTCCCCTTCCATCTGACCCTATCCTATCAGGTCTTATCAGGACTGGATGCATTGTCTTCCTCTGTGGCCTGGTAAGGCTGCTTTCCCTTCAGGGGGATTTGATCAAAGAACCAGCCTATGAGTTCATGTCAGGGACAGTCCCTATTCCCATTACTAGGGTACCCACTTGGACACTGAGTTGCCATGGGCTACATCTCTGCAGGGTTCTATATTATTTCCTCTCAGGATCCTTCGTTGTAGTATCAGTCTCAGAAAAGACCCCTGTGCCCAGACTTTTTGGTTCTGTTGCTCTCCTTGTGGAGCTCCTGGCCCTCCAAGTCTTTTCATCTCCCCCTTCTTTCATAAGATTCCCTGAACTCTGCCCAAAATTTGGTTATGAGTCTCAGCATCTGCTTCTATACCCTGCTGGGTAGAGTCTTTCAGATGCCCTCTGTGGTAGGCTCCTATCCGGTTCCCTGTTTTCTTCCTCTTCCCATATCTATCCCCTTTGTCTTTCCGATTTTTTATTTACTTGGTCTAGAATGTCCCATCCATGGAATTGAACTTATAGAGAGGGTCTTCCCACACAAATAAACCATAATCTATACAAATCCTTTTCACACATGCTCAGAGGTTGGTTTTCATTGTTATTCTAAATCTTATTAAATTCACAATCAATATCAACTATTGTACCTATACCAAAATTCCAAGAGACTTGTTAGTTGACACACAGATTGGAAGCTGCTCCTTTAGAGGACTCTGATGATACATGGAATGTCCACTATTTGCACACAATTTTATTTGTTTCCTTTTATTGAAAATGGGTTTTTCTCACATAATATATGAGGATTATGGTTTCTCCTTCCTCTCCCTTCCAGTTCCTTTCCATGATTCCTCCCATACAGATCCACCCCTTTCTTTCTCATTAAAACACAAATGGGCTTCTAAAGAATAATAATAAAATAAGATAAAACAAAAACTGATGCATCTAACACATCAAAATATATGTGCCAATCAAACAGAATGAAAAGAGCCTGAGAAAGGACACAGGAAACAAATACAGACACAGAGATCCACTCATTTGCACACTCAGCAATCTTAGAAAACTGCTCAACTGGAAGCCATAACATATACCCAAAGGACCTGTAGGGTTAAAGCAGAGGGGGAAAAAAAATTATAAATAAAAATAAAATTAAGATAAAAATTTTAAGACAAGAAAAAATAATAAAGTCCCCAAGCAACATTACCAACATTATGAGACAAGGAATGTCCAAAGTGCATGTCCATTGAGCTCACCTACTATAGACCTACTATATACCATCTAGTGCTGGGCATGCAGTCTGCCCTTAAGATCAGATTCTTTCTCCAATGAGATTGCCTTGGCGGCAATTAGAGATCCACTTACCTCTCCAGACTTTTAAGAGGAAGACTCTTTTCTCTACCTTCAAGGCCCCTGCCTCTGGTATGAAGATATATCTGTACTAATGCTCCCCTGCCATGGTCACAAAGCTCTCTCTTCTAATGAAGCTCATTAGGAAGGATAATGTCCTGTCAGTTCCTCCCTGAAGCTGCCTCATCTGACCTATCAGTATCTGATTTGTAACATATGCAACGTGAGCTTTTGATTCCTAATCTGTTTCCTGGTTTAATTTATTTTCACTCTATCAACCTCTTGGTATACATTCAGTTGTTTAATATCACATCTTAATTTGTGATTACTGTCATGAGGTCTTTGGAATAAACATTAATATGGAAAAATCAATGCAATCGCAATCTTATATTCAGCTTATATATTATTCAACTAGTTTAAAATAGAACGTTTATCAACTTGTTTCAGCTGAAGATAATATTATTTCTTTGATTTATATCAGTTCAGCCTTGTTAATAAGTTAATTTATCCTAAAGAGTGAAAGGGAGGGATCCCTATCACACCCTTCTCTGCAAAGAAAAGGAGCTGCTAAGTTCTTTTTTATTTTAATTTTTATTTTTTATACAAATTACAGTTTATTCACTTTGAATCCCAGCTGAGGCCTCCTCCTTCATTCCCTCCCAATTCCACCCTCCTTTCCTCATCTCCTCCCATGTTAAGTTTTTTATTTGGATATTGATATTATTGGTTATAAAGTTACAGCACAAATTTATTTAGACTGCATTCCTTTACCAAAGCTTTTCGTGAAAAGAGGGGCCTACAACAAAACTTTTTATATCCACTTGATTATGATCAGACAGAAGAAGAAACAGAAAAACAGTTGATAATATAGATTAAAATATTTGAAATATTTCCACTTGTGATGGGGCTAAAGGTATTAACTCAGATTCTAAGAGAAGTAAGTAGATAGGAGAAAGAAATCTTTAGATTGATAGCAAATAAATCTGAGAAGACATGTTATATCACAACAAAGAAACCCTTTATAATAATTGGAATTGTCAAACTCAGACAAGTGTCTCAGGCACATGGTTATTACCAACTTCTAATCTAAGCAAGTGCCAGTTACAAAGGATTCTATGTATGATTGTTTTACTTTAATAGAATCAGAGTTTAATTAATTATCTTTAGCTTCATTAGGTGTTCTAAACTCCTTTTATATAATTATTTTATTTTACTCACATATGTATGCATGTTTGGATTCATGTGGAGGCTACACAAGGGTCTTGGATATCCTGAACGTGGAGTTAAAGACAGATGAAAGCTACATGATATGTGTTCTTGGAAGTAGCTCAGGTCATCTGTAAGAGGAGCAGAGCTTTGCAGCCACTGAGCCCTCTTTCCAGCCCATGTTTTCAAAACTTCAGATGAATATATGTTTGTTTGTTTTTTAACTGCGAAGTCTGTGGAGGAAAGACCATTATTACAAGAAAATACTAAAAAAAAAAAAAAATCTATAAAATATACTTTCATCAAAGAATCAATTTCAAGAATTAATTCATAAAAAGTGATATCAATGATTAACAGCTTCCTCAAAAGATTCTCATTGTTTTTCTTTCAGTACAATTCTAGTGGGAAAAATAGTGTCGCACTCTAGAGCACAAAACCTGTTTTTTAACTCCATAATTGACATCACATACTAATAAAAAAGCAATGTATTTGAACACTTCTGTCAGCCAACATTAAATATGGATCAATATTTTTTCTACATTGTACAAATTGTATGCTTTCCCTATTCATACATGCCATATGCATTTACTGTGTTGAAACTTTGCCATGCATCTTTTTTCTTTTTTAAATCTTTTATAATTTATATATTATTTACTACAATTTATGCACTTTGTATCGACACTGCAGTCCTTTCCGTCGTCTCCTTCCAGTCCCACCCACCTTCCCTCTTCTCCCCCTATAGCCTTTCCCTAGTCACTTGATAAGGAGGACCTCCTACCCATCTATCTGAGCCTAGATGATGAGGTCTTAGCCATGCATCTTTTTCTAAGGCACTTCATCAACATGGTGAAGAAACTTGAGGGAGCCTCTGTCAAAAACCGTTCTATTAAATGAGAAAATGTACTCCTAGAAATAGACTGACAGTGAGAACATAGAGTAAACCCTTATACCTATACCATGCTGCCTTCTTCCTGGCACCCCCAGGAACTCTAAAGCCCACCAATGGCCCTATGGCCTGGACACCTTCTCCCATCACTTAAAAAGAAGGCCTCCATTAGATAGATTAGTTATTGGTGCTTAGTTTATCGGTGAGGATAATTACAGCTCCACAATAGCTACAGCTGCTTCTACAGAAGAGTTGAAGAAATTGGTTAGGTTGTAAAAATGAGTGGTTTAGAGGTAAATAAATCAATAATCTTAATGTTCCTTTAGCTTCTCCAGAGCACCCATTTCTATCTCTTTTATTTTACCTTAGGTTTTCTTTTTAAATTTGAAAATAGTTTTTTTTTTTTCCATACAGTATTATCTGATTGTTTCTCCCTGCTGCAAATTCCCCAAGATCCTCTCAGTTCACTCAAATTCACACTTTTTTCTTTTCTACATTAGAAGCAGACAACAAAGAAAGAAAGAAAGAAAGAAAGAAAGAAAGAAAGAAAGAAAGAAAGAAAGAAAGAAAGAAGTGCATCTTCAACAAATGGTGCTGGTCTAACTGGATGTTTACATGTAGAAAAAAATGCATATAGATCCTATTTACCACCCTGCACAAAACTCAATTCCAAGTGGATCAGCAACCTCAACAAAAAACCAGAAATGCTAAACCTAATAGAAGAGAAAGTGGGGAAGAGACTTGACCTCATTGACACAGGAGACAACTTCCTGAACAGAACACCAACGGCTCCAGATCTAAGATCAACAACTAATAAATAGGACCTTATGAAACTGAAAATCTTCTATAAGGGAAAGGACACAGTCAATAGGACAAAATGACAGCCAAAGTTTGGAAAAAGATCTTCACCAACACAAAATCACACAAAGGGCTAATATCTAAAATAGATAGAGAACTCAAGCAATTAAATAACAACAAATCAACTAACTTTTTTTAATATTTGACATATTTTATTTTGACTTCATCTTAGACTCTTGTTTGCCTGTCCTTTTAGCTCTCCTGCATCTCACCACCCTCTGTCCCCATAGCTGAAGATGTATCAGCTCTAACATAATGTGCATCCTTAAATATGAGTTGGTGTCTCTTGCTACTTTTGACTTTCTGTGTCTTTAAATTTTAAATGTCAATTCTTTGTTGAGGTTTGGCTCTTCTTGAATTTATCTTATGAATTTTATCTTATTGGCCACATAAATTAATGCATTTCATCAAATTTGGGGAGTTTGGGCCATTTTTTCTTCCAATATCCTTTCTGCTTTTTTTTCTCAAGTAACTAATTTAAAAATAGGATGCAGAGCCAAACAGAGAATTCTTAACAGAGGAATCTCATATGGCTGAAAAGTACTT